TTTTCCACTTGGTCTATGAGACTTGTAAGGGCAGTTTCGGTTGATTTGCCTTTACGATAAGCATGTTGGTTAAAGTGGATTGGACTTTTAGTCAAGACTTCATCTCTTATGTACCTATCCAGTACCTTCTCCATTGCTTTGAGTAAGAATGAAGAAAGGCTTATTGGTCTAAAAGACTTTGGCTGGCTATAGTCTTTTTTGCCAGTTTTAGGTATAAATATGACCCTGACAAGGGTCCATATGTCTGGTACATATCCCCAGGCGAAACTCGCTCTGAAGATTTTGATCAGGTGGGAAAGGAGGATGTTCACCCCTTGTTGCAGTAAGATTGGTGGTATCCCGTCTTCCCCTCTCGCCTTGTAGGGCTTAAAGGAGTCTACGGCCCACCGAACATGGTTGGGTCTTATGATCTTGGCAGCTTTGCGCCAGTCCTCACTGCGAGGTCTATGATAGCCTGCCTGCTGATTATTAATGTTCTCCAAGAGACACCCAGGGAAGTGTGCCGTGGCCAGCAACTCGAGCGTCTCTTTCTCTGTAGTTGTGAAGGAGCCGTCTTCCTTCTTGAGAAGTCCGATAGGATTAGGTTTGGTTTTAGAGAGAAGTTTGTGGAGTCTTGCTACTTGTGGAAGACTTTTGATTTCCTCACAGAGCTTCCTCCACGATTCTCTTTTAGCCCTCCTAATCTCTTTGTTGTAGTCTGTTAGAGCTTTCCTATAGATCTCCCAGACGGTGTCTTTTTAACTTTGTTGAATAATTTCCTTGTTTTGTCTCTGAGCTTTTTCAGCTTTGAGTTCCACCAAGGTGCTTTTCTGATTGAGGTCTTTATTTTGAGAGGGCAGCTCTCCTCAAAGGCTGAAATGATGCCCTTTGTGAGGCCTTCCACTGCTAATTCTAGACTCTCAATAGTTCTAATTGTTTTGGGAAGGGTAGCCAAGTTCATTTTTAACCGGTCTTTGTATTCATTCCAGTTGGTTGATCTGGGGTCCCTATAGGTTGTGGTTTCGGCTTCTAACGTCGCCTTAACCTCAAAAGCTAGGTGTCGATGGTCTGACATTGCATTTTCATTGCTGACATGCCAGTTCATTATATGTCTGGCTAGATTATGTGTGGAGATAGTAATATCTAAGACTTCCTGCCTAACCTGAGTAACGAAGGTTGGTTCGCAACCTGAGTTTAGTGTTGTAAGGTTATTAGCTATTAGAAAGTCAAAAAGTAACTCACCTCTTTTATTCGTGTTACTACTTCCCCACGATGGGTGATGCGCATTTGCATCGCATCCTATTAGAAGCTCGGCGTTGTGATGTGCGGCATACTCTACCACTCTTGCTAAGTCTTCAGTCGGATTGTCTCTCTCTCCAGGCAGATAGGCAGAGCATATTATTACTCTTGCACCATCCCACCCTTTAAGTTTGACAAAGGCTGCGGCTAAGTCGTCATTGCAAACTTCTGAAATTGGCAAGAAATCAACACATTTATTAAATAGGATACAAGCTCTGGGTCTTTTACCAGTGTTATTACTTAGAACCTTACCAGCATTGTTAAGTCCCCGAACCTGAGTATTTGCTACCCAAGGTTCTTGAATTAAGGCAAGGCTTGCCTTGTCCTCAGCAAAGCATTGCTCCATTACCGCAGTGGCTGCTGCGGCATGGTGGAGGTTTGCTTGCAGGACCCTCACCCCTCCCCCCTGAGTAGCTCCTAGGCGTTTCCCCCCTGCTTAGTCCGCACAAGCTTGGGACGCGGTCGTCCCCTGCTCGTACGCCAAGCGTCGCCTCTTCCACCCCTGTGAGCTGTGCCTGCTAGGCCTCCCCTTTGCCTTAGTAAGGGTTCCTGGGGCCTTACGGCGGCACCAGCTCTCGGATTTGCCACCCTTCCACCCTGAGTAGGAGGTATTTGCATCCCTCTTGACGTGGAGGGCTGTGGCTCCGTATTGTTGTTCCCTCCGCTCTGAGGTAGGGACTCGGACGTTGTCCTGGCTGCGGTTTGTTGTGAGCCAGGATTCGTCCTGTCTTGCCTCTCTGAGCCCCTGGATGAGGATGCCTGAGGTTCCTGAATCCGTTCCGCAGGTTCCGAGCTTGTGGGTCCAACCATTGGGTCGCTCTTGATTTTAAAAAGTAATTTCTTAAAACCAAGAACGACCTCAAGGTTCATAGCCCGGAGAGCTGCCACAGAAGCGTCGTCCAGGAAGAAGGACACAACGTGTCCATTTCCCTCGGCCCTACTGTGCGCAACTCTCCAGAGCTCCGTGTTGAGCCCTCTGTTCTGTATCCCCAGCAACTGAGTGGCCTCGTCTAGCGACTCCGCCTCAGAGTTAGGGATAAATATAGTCCCTACAGCAGGCTTTGGTAGTTCGCTCTCAGGGATTATTGAGAGCACCGCCTCACTCCAGGGTTTTAGGGTGGGGACCTTCTCGGACAGCCATTTGAGACTATCCTGGTCCTCACAGGTGATCACTATATAACCCGGCCTGTGGGTAAAGCCGGTGAATCTAGGTCCTTCACCCTTGTCTGTGATCTTAAGCATCGCTAGGGTTAGGGATCGGTGCACCAACTTCATTTGATCTCCACTCATGGGAACTTTGTTTTTAATTCCCACGCGAGATTGCTCCACGACCTTGCTGAAGCTGGGTTGTGCCACCCTTCCCTCCGCACGGGGAGCCTTTTTGATTTGCATCCCCGGCGATTCTTCCTCCGACCTAGGCCTTTTCTTGGCCTTCGGGTCAGGCGGAATGTTTGTGATCGGAATATCCTTCCAAGGCCTAACGGCTAATGCGCGGGCTTCATCGAACCTCACATTAGCCGCCAGAAGCCTTCGGAGTCTCTTCCGAGCAGCACCGTTTAATCTAGCCGGACGGCTTAGGGATTCCTCCGTCCCTGGGTTGGAGTCATCAATGACTCCTTCCCCGGCCGGATTGGTCCCTTCAGCCCTCGGGTTAGATTCCTTTGACGGAGAGGCTAATAAAACCTCCTCCATCAAAGTTATGGTTTCTCCTAAAAGAGGAGAAAGAGGATCTCCTGTTGGAGATAAAGGTTTGGGTGTTTGATTTTGTTTTTCATTTTTTTCGACTTCCATATACGTCCCACGAGAAGCTAGGGAACTAAACATGCCCACCGACAGAGCCCCGCATGTCGATGGGAGGACAGAAATACTACCCGATTCGTCCAGGTGTCGGGTAGCCACCGTTTGCGACTGAGCTCCCCCCAGCCACGCATCCCTCGGCACGGTTCGGATGACACCTTGGATTGGGTTTAATATACAAATATATAAATAAATGCATACTATATATATACAACATACATACTACTGTACATACATACACATATATACACAAGATAAGGACTGTATAAATACTAATAAATGTAATATAAATAAATATCTGTAGCATAAATAAATATATTTAATAAAGCAACAAGCGCCCGGTGGTTTCGGTTATGTCTATTTCCTAGTGAACTAGACCAAAAACAGGGCTGGCAACCTCGAGAAGGATAGTCCACCGAGCTAGCCTTGGGGATCTTCGCGACTGAACACGTCACTCTCCCCCAAGACCAACGCCCCCCTACCGTCTCTGAAGGAGACAGTAGGGTAGGCCTGCGCCTATACTACCATGCAAAGCATGCCGTGCGGGAACCGTGAAAGCATAGGTCCAGGCCCGCCCCTTGCATTTTTAATATACCTATTTCATTAATTTGTAATGATTTATGTAAAAGGCATTTAGTTATGTAACTTCGGCTGATAAGAATGTATTTAAAAAATGAAAAGGATGCGGATATTCATTTGTTTTCCCGCGCTTTTTGCACACAGATGTCGGTACCACCCTGTAGTGACTGATCGAAATAGATTGTTTGTAATACTAAAAATTATTGTTATAAATTATGTAACTCGTTATTTGAAAGAGCAACTGTAGAGTTTCTTACGGGTTCTTCTCAGCAGAACTGTTTTCCAGGCCGGTGGTAGCTTTCACACGGACAGACGTACTAACGATTATAAAAGTACTGAATATAAGAATATATGCAAGGAATATCTCGAAGTTGTATAAGTGATCCTACACTATAGAACAACTAATTAAAAATATTAAAACATTTGTTATGTGTAAGTATACATTATATAAATATATGTATTGTACGAGTATATTATGATGTTACAATTTTTAATATTTTCGTTTGACAGAATTTTTTTTTGTCTTTTTGGTATATTAGTACAGTGCTATTAGTACAAAAAAACAGCCTAATCTCAACATCTAAAGTAAAAGTTTCCCTCCAACTCTAAATTGTTGTATATAGTCCACATATTATTTGGTAAAAAGTTACACCATTTTGAGCGTCGAGTTTCGGGGGGAGAGAGTCGAAAAGATATTCATTCTTAATGTGGCATTATCCAGAGAAAGCTTAAAGTGGGTTTCTTCGTACCACAAAGTTTATTTGGCCTATGCCTGTCGAAGCTTCTTTTTAACCAACTTCCAAAAAGGAAGAGGTTCTCAGTTCGTCGGAATCTTTTTTTTTTATTTAAAAAGTAGCGCCCCTTAAAAAGGTGGTGCGGTTGTTCTTCCTTCAAGATCAAGGGCTTCTCACTAACATACCACTGGCCACTAAAATTGTAATCGTAACTATTAAATAATTATAATTGCAATGAATTATATAAATTAAATAATTTTTTGCAACTTTATTGTGTCACGTTACTTGTGTAAAGACTCATTGTGTACTTTCGCAATCAAGAAATTTCTTGATTGTTTTTAAGGATTGAAAACACTGCTTTAAATATTTTAAAATTATCCTACATTGTAAAATATAAAAACTAACTTGTATACAGACGTAAAAGGATATAGAATTAAGAACCTTTATATGAAGAAATTATTTTTACTTTAGTCTTTGTTACAATATTAGGTACTTAATATTATTATACTAAACAGTCTTATATATCTTTTAATACAAACCCTCTATGGCTACCTTAACATAAACATTTGGCAGAATTAAAAAAATGTAACCTATATGTACACCAAACATTCACATAGTATCAGTTCGTAACCTCTTCAGTCGGAGGTCATGACTGTGGCACCTTTTCTTCCTGCAGAAAGTAGCGTTCATGGAATTACGCGCGTAGCATCTCCTGCATATTTTTTTGTACACGTATTTCTTATCCAATGCTTTTAAATTCATACCTACAAAGAAAATTGGAGTTTAAAATATTTTGAATAGCGATAAAAATTTAGTTAAAAGAAATAATTTTAATGAAATATGTGCACTTAAAAAAATATTATTAACAATGATCTGCAAACCAATTTCGGCCGGCTACAACTAATCTCACATAGACTAACTAGTGTTATTGCAGGAGATATTTATCTTTCTCTATCTCTCACTCTCAAATTCTAGGAGGAATATCAAACGAAGGACCGACAGCAGTACATGGACATGGAGAAGAAATACCCACGCTAACCTTTTTTGAAATTATTTTTAACGTTGGGAAATGTATTTAAGCATACCACCTGCATACATGTACATATATATAGATAGTAATGTCGTTCTTACCGGCTAGAAAAGCCAGTAGTTAAATCTAAGGGCGTTTTAATAGGGCGTGGCGTTGGGTGGATAGGATCGCTTATGCACTCAACGACGACGTACCGATTGCTGGCCTACCGAGGCAGACCATAACCACCATGCTCTCAGGTTCCACTCTGATAGTACTGCAGAGAAGTACCAGAAACAATCCGCATAGTATACCGCCCACCGAGGGGGACCACCTCCTAGTATGTTTTATGCCTTTGAGCCCTGCTTGACCGCCAGATGTTAATGTGTCCCCCACCTCCAACCCCCGCAAATTAACCTAATGTAACTCCGGAGAAGCTCCTTCCTTACTGAGAATTTCGTGACATAAACTTAATTATACTTGGCCCAATCCGAAACTCGAACCCTGTTTGACCATACATGCTAGCAAGAGCTGCTAGGGGTTATAAATCAGTAGAATGTGTTTGGATACTACCGTCAAATTGGAAGAGATCAAGTTCCAGAGTAGACTCCTTTTGTATGTTGTAGGAAGCCAGAGTGCGCCAATCCTCCATTGCGTGTCCTTGTACGTCAATCTCTGTAGAAAAGGAAGGGTGCCCTCTTCATGGCAGATTAAATACTTAACAGATTCTATGGTATAGAAATCTTCAACAACCATGGTAATAGTCTCTGAAGACAGGGTTTTGACGAAACTTTTCATAATAAGCTGATAACATTGTCGTATTATTTAGTTATAACCTAAAATAGTCCCTTATCAAACTACTATTGTAAATGCGAAACTTTATATGTCTGTGTCTATGTTTGTTAGTCCTTTACAGGGAAACTCCTGGAAGGATTTGTATTAAGTAAACAGATTTTCAGTGACCTGGAGTAACACATAGGCTACTCTTAGTAATACATTTTGCCAAAAGTTGGCGCTGCATGCAAATAATATTATAAGTAGGTGTATAAAATGGTCTTAACGACACACTCCAGTAAAGTAAGTCACACACACAGTCCAAGCAAGTCGCTAGTTACTAAATAAAATAATACTTGCTGAGGCATTTTAGGCTATTAAAACTTTCAAAAAAGTATTTAATAGATAAATAATATTTAGAACCAATAAATAAGATTAAAATAGTAAACAAAAAACCATTGTTAAATTAATTTACCTTACGTATTAATTATTATATTTTATTAAATGTCGAAAACTGTAAGTACATACTGACTACTGGTACGTTGCGCCGCGACCGCGGCCCGATTGGGCGATTGCTTCGATTCGAGCGTATGTTGTTTTTATTATGATATACTCTATGAGTCAACAAGAAATTATCTATACCCTGAATATATTTTAGTATAGTATTTATATACTCCTTAGTCCTTACTGTATGTTACGAAATATCAAAAAGAAAACTGCAAATATGCTAAATTGATAATCTGATTTACGAGTAATAACAGTAAAATAAAAATAATATAAAATGAAAGAATAGGACTGAAATATAAAGTAAGTAAATTAAAAAAATAATTTTTTACAACTTTATCACTGTATTTAAGGTTTTTATTTGTTTTTTTTAAATCTAACCCACTAAAAATAAAAAATCGATACTACATTTATTTCGGTACTATTGCGCAATATTATGCGAATGTCCAAACATAACGAAGGAAGTTAACGGACTGGACGGATTATATTGATGGATTTATAATAGTAAAAGCTTTACTTTCCCTCTACCTGGTACCATAGAATTTGACATTGTTATTATTACACGGGTAATGGGAAATAGTATGCATGATGACGTAAGTATGTACCGCTTCTTTGAATTTGGCATCGAGTTCTAAACATCATTCTAACATATTATAATTTTCCTGCAGTAAAAAGTATCCTATGTATATGTCAACATATCTTACCAAATTTCATCAAAATCTGTCCAGTAGTTTTCTCGTGATGCGGTCGCGGACAGACTGACAGAACGATAGACAGACAAAAATTCTAAAAACTATAGATTCGGCCTCTGTATCGATAATAATGACTATTTCGATAAGATTTCCCAAAAAACATTTAATGTACAGATTCGACTCAGTTAGAATTTTATTATATGTATAGATGTGATTGATTACTTTGAATGATGGCGACTGACTTTACTCTATATGACGTGACTCACGCGATGCGACGTGCCTCCCGCCGAATGTAAACATGTTTGTATTACTTCTCATCTATTCTGCCGGCCGGAGGTCCTTGACATTGAGTTGTCAGTTACGTCATTTTTTATCTCTTTACAATTACATAAATGATGTAACATTTGTATACACATATAATATATGAGATTAAAAATTTAAAAAACCCCTACGCAAGGTAATTGTCATTTAACGATTGCACTCGCGCGCTTGAAGCACTTAATCGAGTAATCATATGCCAAATTTCCATACATCATTTTGGAAAAGAGCTGATACTCTTACACTGCTGGACCGATATTAACCAAACGTAGCTAAGAACCACCGCAAGGAAACTGGCTTTCAAATAAAAAAACCACAGGCACACACACATACACACACAGATAGACATCGATGTCAAACTTATAACACACCTCTTTTTGCGTCGGGGATTAAAAAATGCTTATACATATTTGATTTGCATTCATTTTTTTTGGAATGGGATATAAGTGCCATTTTCACCATTATGTTGTTATGATTTACAGTAGTCGTTATGTTATCGAAACATAATGTTCAAGTTTTTATTAACCCCTGATGCAAACACAGGGGTGTAATAAGTTTAACGTGTGTACGTCTTCGTCTGTGTGTCTGTCTGTGGCATCGTAGTGGCCAAAGAGATGCAATTGCGGTAGTGTCTTAACAACTTGCTACCCCACATCTTCCGTATAAAATGTAGTATTACTTTTCTATGCCCACAGTAGAGAGGTGTGTTTTTTCTATATAGGACATTGAAGCTGTTTGGCCTTCAAGGTCAATGGGCATACATAGAGCGACTCAATTGTTCTCTTCCTTATCTCGTACTTGAGTTCTAATCTGAAATTTTGTGATATCTTGCTTTGTAATTAAGCAGTAATTTAATTATGATAAAATGTATTATTGAAAGAAATTTATTTAACAATACAAAGTTTAGTATTCAGTCAATATCCGATTTTCATAATAACGACTGGCGACTTCAGACAACTTTGCGTGCAAGTCGCGATTTATATTGTTTTTGGCTTTTCCATTAACTACTGAGCTGTATAATTTATTATTATTATTGTGAACTTGTCATCTCTAAGCAATTACAACAATAACAACACACATCGGGGGTATGCTGGAAAGGAGCCTTTGTTTTTTTTTAGAAGTAGTTTTGGAATGTAGCCTTCCTCAAGGACATTTTAAGGGATTTTGAAGTTATTGTACCTTTTTATTAATTAATTATTATAAATTGTTACAGTAAATAAAATCACTATCGACCTTATTAGGTTATTATAGATAACAGACGATTCATGGACGGCATTTGAATTTTTATCAAATCTAACAATCATCTTATTAAACTATGGACTATTATTTGTTTATACTTTTATCAGTTTTATTAATATCGAATTCGTTATTAAATCGTAAAGATTTTCGATTCAAAATATTGTATGGCATGTAATAAGTTCGATAGATTGTACTAGCGAGACCAACCAAACAAGAAAAATAAGTATCTTAAGTGAAATATTCAAATGTAAAAGTGCAAATTATTTATGTAATAACATAATAATTATTTTTTTTAAATATATATATGTTGAGATGTAGTCGCAGTCTGTGTTATTGAACTAGAAGTAATAAGCTACTTCGTAATACTCAGAACGCACAATTACTTAATATTGCATAAACAATAACATTAATATAATATGTTGGGACATTAACACACAGCACCATCTAGTTCCATGATAAGCTACGAGGCTCGTGTTATGGGTACCAGATAGTTGATACACTACACATATATAGCTTTATATATATACATATTATAAAGATAAGCATCCATGACTGGAGTACATACATTCGTGCTCATTACACAAATGAATGCCCCAGCGGGACTCGAATCCGCGACCGCTGGCGCAGCAAGTAGGGTCACTAAAAACTGAGCCAAACGTGTCGTCAATAAGTTGTTATCAATTATAATATATTTTTTTATCTGTACATAATGATATTTAATTAATTTCCTTGTTGAAGTACAATTTCACTCTCTTTATTGTGTCTATAATGTTGTGCAATAATTTTGCGCAACATTATCTATATTTAAAACAAACTACTGTCACTAATTCTTATGTATGGATCTTGTCAAAATAAATTAAATGAAAATAGAATGAGACCCTCCACCTCCTGGCTCCATCATCAGATCAACTCCATGGTATCAAATTATTATAATATTGTCATTACAATCACATAATACATATATTGGCAAAGTTTCAAAACGACACAATAATTAGGAGATTGGATGCGGGCAAAAACTAGTTTAATATACATAAGTATATACGTAGTTTCTGTAAATTGCATCGGTGGTGTAGTGACTAGCATGTACGGCTGCACACCGGAGGTCCTGGGTTCGAGTCCCGGGTCGGGCCAAGTTTAGTTATTGAGTCTTCCTGTATAGTAAGTCTCAGTAACAGCCCAGAGTTGGGAAGTTGGCGGTGTTTCACCCCCGTGCCTCGGAGAGCACGTAAAACCGTCGGTCCTGCGCCTTAACTCTCACTGGTCGTGTCGCGTGGTCGTCCCACCAGAGTATGAGAGTGACAGGAATAGAGAGTGCACTTGTGTCTGCGCGTACACTTGTGCACTATAATATCTCCTGCGCAGTTGGCTAGTCTCAATGAGATTAGCCACCGTGACCGGAATCGGTCAGGAGAACATCATCATCAATATGTGTGATGAATTTGTATAACTCCATATAAAGAAAATGACTTGGTTAAAAACAAGATGTATGTAATGTTAATATTAAAATGTACCAAAAATAGCGTTACATATATAGAACATTATAAATACAAAAAAAAACCTAAGAAGTACGTCTCTAGTTATGAGGTAAAAGAAAAGACCAAATAAAGTAAAAATAAAATTTTATTTTCTTAAATATACATAGTTTAAGCAAATAAAATCTTATCCTTATAATAAATAAAATACTTATATAATATAAACATTTACCGCTATTTACATATACAAATATAAATTATAGGAAGGAATTATGTATATAGAAAAAAAGGTTTTTTATAGTCTATCAGTCATACTTAAAATTCTTAATCAAGCAATAGGCGGTATTTAAATAAACTAGTTAATTTAACATTAGCCTCTTTTACATATAAAGTACATGGAGATAGATTTTGACAATAAAATTAAAACAGCCTGGCCTCATCGAGTTTCTTCTTGGGGCGGAGGTCGTTGTTGTGTCCGCACTTGTCCTTGCGGCAGTTGGTTGCGCGAGGGTGAAGGCGCGCGTAGCACTTGCGACAAATCATTTTGTCACAGTTGTATTTCCGAGCCAACACCACGAGATCGGGAGCGATACGTATTGTGCCCTTTCCACCTACAATCAAATATGAATACTTATTGTCAAATATTCCAATTG